TATATACCGTGCGGAGTGATACCCAACAGAGGACAGAGATGCGGTTAGATAAAAGCCGGTTCCAGTTAATGAAAGAGTATGACAAACGACATAGAATAGAATTGGTGGCAGCCACTTACATCTATCGTCCTCGTCCAGAAATATGCAACTGATCAGAATCGCACCGAGTATACCGAGCAGCTGGAGAAAGAGAGAGACGAAACAATTTACAACAATTCAGGGCACTTAAGGCCTGTTAACCACTCACCGCCAGACCGCACTGAACTCCCGAGTGAATAATCTCCACCAGCGTATAGTCGAGCAGGCAGCCCTCTACGGTCTCCGGCCGCTGTGGACGGAACGGATCATCCGCCGTCATGTTGTAGGTGGGCCGGCATCCATAACCGTTCGCCTCGAACCAGGAAACGCTGCCCGTGCCGAGATTGAGTAGATCACTGTCCTGGTTTCCACAAATAAATGCATATGTTGGAATAAGTATCCAGAGTTATTCATTGCCTAATAGTACTCACCCTATCCAACTGCCCCACATTCAGATAAAAGCAAATGAGGAAAGCATTCCAGCCGATCCATAGGAAGTTCCATATTAGATACTGCCACAGTAAAACGAAAATACAGAACGAAAACAAATTTGGGTTATCGTACAGATATGATAATGGTGGAAAAGGGATTGGGGGCAGGGCACTCACGGTGATGATGTATTTAACGCGAAAGTGATATGCGCCATAGAATCCGAATATGATAAATAGAATGTGGAAGAAATTCACCAGGATGGGGGCCCACATGTATCCGAGAAAGTCGAATACCTGGCGTTCGAGAATCGTTATCTATACATTGTGAAATGGGGAAATGCAATCGATTTTTAATATGCAGATAACTGGAACAGCAAAAACAAAAACAGGTTTTCCAGTAAATACTCACCACTTGCAGGAAGCATATTGACAACAAAAAGTGTCGCCGCGTACACGAGCACGAGCCCATCACATAATTATTCCATTCAGAAATGTATGCTAAAGGTTCTTTAACTCTCCCTCTACCAGTCCTTTGTTGCGATCGCTGCAGCTATTCCGCTTCAGCCTGATCGCATTGCCTCTTTTTATCTGGTTTTTTGTGTGTTACGCTTTTATCTGCAGTTTCCACATTACATGCAGGCAGCCTGCTGCTGCAAGTTGAATGTGGTCAAGTCAAGCGTGGCAAGTGCAGCCACTTGTCCCTTTCCCTCTTTCTCTCATTCGCTCTCTCTCTCTCTCTCTCTATGTATGGCTATTGCACCTTAGAACACTCAAGTATGCTAAGGGGAGGGGTAGACGCTTGGAGGGTAAAGAATGCAGCTGAACAAAACCTGATCTGTGTGAACTAAAAGTAAATAAAAAGAAATTATAACGAATTGAAGCAGCAGCTACCGAGAGAAACTTTGCTCACACATGCACGTACACACAGGCACAGAACATAACTATAACTACAACTACAACTAACACACGAGAGGCTCACGTAACGTAACGTAAACTAAACACACGCACTAATTTTCGCCTTTTACCCAATTTCTGGTGTACATATACAATACATACATATGCATGTGTATATTCTTGCTTTCTGGTTCTGTTCTGGCTAGTGTCCAGGTCAAGTATAAGCAATTAATTAATTAACACACAGCAGCCCTCTCTCGCTCTTCAATTACGCCATGTCTATATTTGTTTCTATAGTTTTCTGGTTTCGCATACTAATTCGATTGTGTGACTGGCTCTGGCAATCAAATTAAAACCTATAGCTTCAGGCTCAGCAATAATTCAATATAAAACGAATGACGCGCTCGGGGTTCGGTTCCGTTTCTGAATATGAGTCAAACAAAACAGAATTTTATTTCGTTGGGGACACGGAAGCCCCACACTCACTTACACTCACTTTCACACACACGCACAAGCATCACAAAATTGTCCCCTTTCTATATGTTTGGGAATGCTTTATCGCTATCTGCACTTGTCCATTTTACATAAGCAGGCAGAGCACTTTATTATCATTTAAATTAACACTTTTTTGGACTTACGTTGCGACGCCCGCGGGCGACAATATTGTCAATGTGATCCGCGCCAGTCAGAGCAATACGTCACAAATTTCAAAATATACCGTAAATATACTGACGAATTATTTTTACTAAAGTTCCATCATATTCCATCGCTTTGATATTCGGTTGAATATTACCAGCTATCTAAGACCCTCAGCTCTGAACTCATTATTTAATCCGATTATCACATGAATTTTCTACCAGACTGATTAACTTTAACTTCCCATCTTTATTTGATTGTTTATAACATACACTTTAAGCAAAACCGGTCAACAAAAATTTCCACTAAATTAATAGCCTTACATGGTAACTACACGTAACTTCATTAACTACATTTTTATGTAATTAAGGCGACACATGACTGGGAAATTTGTACGTTTGCCCGTTTCATTTTCACATTTTCATCGTTTTTTTCATATTATCCCCATGGAAGCGCCAGTGTGAAAAAACACGTTATACACTGCTTGACATGCCTTTTTTCCGACATTTTTTAATAAGTGAGATTTTGATGGCAAACGATCAGGAATTCGGTGCTGAATAAGTATTCAATGTGGCCTGGGACATAGCTTTAAGTGGCATTTCTACACGGTTTCTACATTGGTGTATTGGACAAGAGGGTGAGTCCTCGAGGGACTCGTGTTAAAATATACCAGAAAATACTACAAAATACTATGAAAAGTATAAAAATTACAAAGTGTGTGAGCTAGACGTGGTGGCAAGAAAATAAGAATGGGACTCTCAGGAATATACCAATATAAACCATCTCTTTTTCAAAATATACCGTAAATATATATGCCCACTTAATATTATCCGATTAAGGCATCAATTTTTTACTAGACTGGGTTATTTTAAATTCTCCTTTTTTTTTTTTGCATTTTGTCTTAAACGAATTAAGTTTAAACGAAAGTCAAGGCACAATAACGTAATTTTGTACGGAAAGAAACGTAGTGTAGTGGAAACCGACCATAAAGAGTACCCCTATTACCATACTATCGATGTTTGCGTCAATCGATGGACCGAAAAGATGATCGCCTTTGAATTAATGGTAGAATTCAAATTAAGCCCGAAAAATGGAAGCCTGTGAAAAAAACGCAGAATCGTAGAAGATGACTATATCTTCTAGAGTGCAAAATCTGAACCAGATGGTATAATTATTATAGCCAGAATCAAGAAAACAATTTCATTCTTTCTCGCTCTGTCTCTCTCTAACACACAGGTTTCATGGTCGGTTTTGCCAATTGCAAAATATGAGTTCACGGATCTCAGAACCTATAAGAGCCAGAGCAACCAAATTTGGTATCCACACTCCTGTGATATTGGACCTTGACCGTTTTGTGTCAAAATTTCGACACACCCCCTTCCGCTCCCGCAAAGGACGAAAATCTGAGGCATCCACAAATCTCAGAGACTATTAACGCTAGAGTAACCAAATTGGGTATTCGCACTCTTGTTAGATCTCACTTTAAAACGTATATCTCAAAATATTGACCCCCTTCCGCCCACACAAAGGACGAAAATCTGTTGCATCCACAATATTACAGATTCGAGAAAACTAAAAACGCAGAGTCATAGATTGCTGAATCTGGATCAGATCAGATAATTTTTATAGCCAAAAGGAACAAATCAATTTGCACTGGCTACGCAGCGACCGACGTCACGCTCAGACTGATTTTCTGTCTCTCTCTCGCACGCACTCTTTGTCGTGTCGTTTAATATTAGCGGCGTCTGCCGGAGGAGAGCCATACTGACTAAGCATCGGGTATAACTGTAGAGTTGCGGTGTCCGCAACAACTCACAACGTTCCCCCTCGTTTTATGATAATTTGAATGTAAATTCAAAAGAATAGGATTTTTTGGGTTAGTTTAGTTTATTTTGTATGCATATTGTATAATTTGTGTTATTACGATTATCATACATAAATAAATTAAATTATACTCTTTATTCACAATATATGTAGGGCTCTGTGTCGTTTTTACTTTTTTTTTTTTTGTTACATTTTTGGTTTCAATCAGATTATTTTGTCGTGTCTCTAGCCAAACACCATAAAATATATATTTCAAACTCAACATTACGCTCAACGTACATACATATGCTGCTCTGCTTGCATTTTTATTGTTGCCAAGTCAGTTGCGATTTAAATTTCAAATTCAATTTCCAATGCCTCCACCAGATGCTTTGCATGTTCTAGTAATCAATCAATCAATTAGGTTTTTTTGGGTTTTTTTTGGTTGGTTTTTCAACTCGTTAGTTCTTCAATTCTGTCTTCTGTGTATTGTTTCGGCCGAAATGGTTCCCAGCTTTAGCTAGCTCTCTGTCTATCTCCTCCTCCTCCTAAACGATTCATGTTTTATTTACAGCAATTGGGGAATATATTATAATAATAGTCAAATGTTTCGTTACAGTTTTTTATAATTGTTTCTCTTTGGGTTTTTTGTTTGTTTGTTGGATTTGTTTCCGCTGATAGTTTTCTCTGCTAGTACTCGTATCCCTCTTAATCGTTCCTTCATTTCATTTTCATTTCTTTTTCGTTTCGTTTTCATTTTTGTACAATAGACGCGTGTTATCTTTTGTGTGTTATCAGTCGTTTTTCATTTACTTTACATGAATGTGCAGGGAAATTATTGTTAAGTTTTACTTGTAAATAATTCTCTTCTCCGCTAAATAATGCCTCCCTCAAAACATAGTATCTCTCGTATCTCTTCTCCAATCTAATAGTACATACATATGTGTGAGTGTGTATGGGTGTTGGATTTGGTTACCAGAATTGTATTTCTAAATTGACACAGATAATTTAGGATTCGATCACAAAGCGTAGTAAAAATAAAAAAGATAGTTAGCTACGAAGTTACGAAGTAAAAAGGGGATTCCGGTTGCGCTTCCGTTCCCAATCCCGGGTATATGTATGTATGTATATATATTACAATAATTACATGAATATATATCTATGTGTATATCAATATGTTTGTGTGTATGTATATAATAATATAATATGTTAGTTAGCATTTAGTTGGTTGCTCGCCTTGTGGCCGCCCTTTGCTCCAGACTTTTAAGTATGCTTCCCATATAAATTGATTCCAGTTGCAGACACCAAAAAAGAGTTTGATATACAATATATAATATACATATATAATATACACATACGAGTATGTGCGGGTAATTGTCCTATGACATAAATAAGTACACATCTTGGATTGTAAAGAGAGAATCAATTGCGCTTGAATGGGCACAGGTGAAGGCAATGCAATGCCATAACCTGGTCTCCCCATTCTGCAACTGACAGCTGGATTCGACTGGGGTTGGGTGCTGGGGATGGGGTTGGGGTTGGGATTTGCAATGGGCTGAACAGATGCACTGGGAGGCTTGACATAAACCCTAGCGATGCGATTACGATACAATACAATGCCACATGTAATAGGACTTATATGCTTATTCAAAGGGAAGATAAGAGACAGTTGCCGTGTGTGTACGAGTATCTGGGTTTGACATCTGGAATGTTATGTTTCTTGCGCACTCGAGCGGGCTGCAGCCGCGGAATTAGATTCCATGGAATAGACAAATTTCTATTGTAAGTATGGGGTGTCCTTTTGGCTGACAATGGATCAGTCAAACTTTACCAGTTGCCACGTCCTGCGGGCATTTCCAAGGGGGAAAAAAATGCAATCTGCAGCTTACTTCTTGCTCTTGCGCTTCTGCTTCGACTCGTCTCCATTAGTTGGCCCAGTAGCAGCTGCAGCGGCAGCGGCAGCTGTGGCGGCGGCATTCAACAGATTCATGTTCGGCTTTACCGTACCCTTCTTCAGGGTGGGTGGCTGCTGGGGAGTGGCCTGGGTAATGTTGTTGTTGGTAGCAGCCGCCGAGGAGAGATTGTTGGCCGGGGTGGCCGGCGTCTCGTCCAGGAATAGTGGATTCTTTACCTCCATCTCGCCGGTTGGCGCCAAGCCGGGACACTCGTACACCGTGTAGTCGCCTTCCTCGTTGTCGTCATCGCTCTCCACGTCGGACATTCCACAGCTGCCATCGGTAGCCTGACAGTTCTCCATGGCTATGATCTGCTGCTTCTGGTGCTGGTAATGGTACATCTGGGCGCTCTGGGCCAGCTTGCGGTCGCCCGAGGGCGAGACGTCCTTGTTGGGTCCGGTCACACCATACGCCGGGTAGTCCACGTCCGCTGCTGCTTTGCTCCGATTGTGGACCCTGTAAAGAAATGGTATTACAACTTACTCTATACCGTCTAGTTTGGGGGGTGACTTACCAGGTCACTCCTAGCGCTAGAAGTCCCACAGTCACCGCTGCGCTCATGCCCGCTATCAAGGCCACAATGTAGACACCCATTTCACTACTCATTCCCATGTGCTGGCGAAGCACAATCTGATCGGAGTTGGCTTCGCCCCCTCCATTGACCAGAGCCACATGCGGGGACTTGCTCTGCTTCTGCAGCTTACTGATCAGGGCGTTCAGCTTGTGGGGTGTTTGATCTTTACCCTGGGGAATATTAACACCCGCTACAGCTGCGGCAGCCGCTGAGTTGGGATTGATACGATGGAAGTTGGCATTGGCGGCATCGAGCAGTTTGGGCGGCTCCACTGGGACAGGTGCATGAACTGGCGTGTCAATCTTCGTCTTGATGGTAGCCGTCGCCGCCTCGGGAGTGGGCTGAATTGGAGCATACTCCTCGTAGTCCTCTAGGGCTCGAGAGTCCAGCTCGCCCGAGGGATCGCTCGGGTTGTCGAAAAAGCGCGCATCGTTGGGTCCTACCGCGAAGGGAATCCTCTCGCGTGGTACACTATTCCGACCTAAGTTGGGAAGACCGTGGCGGCTGGGCAGATTCGGAAGATTTGGAAGACTGGGCAAATACACCGGCGAGTGGATATCGGGCACATTACTGATGGGACTGCCGTAGCTGGGCTCGGCCTCCGCGTTGTCGTATTGGTCGTACTGCTGGTTGTTCAGGTTGTTAAGGTTACCGTCATAGTCATCCTCCGTCTCACGCTCCACCTGCAGCTCCTGCTGTCGCTGGCGGTAGCGCTCCATCTCGAGCAGCTGCCGCTGGCGTTCCAGCTTCATGTTTATCTCGTGCAGCTGCTGGTCAAATTGATGCTGAAGCCGGCGGCGGGCGTACTGCTCCATCATTTGGGCAAGGAAAGCGTATTCCTGCTCGTTCTGCGGATCCATAGCGGGCGCCTGTATGGGTCGGCGGCGTAGTCCTGGTAGAGTGGGGGTAGGCAAAAGGAGCAATTGATTAGTGGGCGTTGACGAGAGGCGTGGTGTGATTATGTTAATGACAAATTTCGTGCGTGTCAGCGGTCGAAAAATAGAAAGTAGTCGGAAAATAGAAGCAGTCCGAAATAGCCGCAACACGAAACGGTCTGTGACCCGCCGCCGCCCACCTCTCTCGCGTTCTTTGGGCCAAGGCAATACCAGAAAAAGGATTCGAAATAGACAAACAAAAGTCCATTTAATTGCCAATGGCCTAAAAATAGACCAATTACACACGCGCACAGGCCAAAAGCAAACACGCCAGAAGGCGAGAAAGAAAGCGAGTCGAGAGTCAGTACAGGCCACGGGCCTGTGACGTGCTTCGAAAATTGTATCGCGTTTAGTGTACCGTTATGTGTTGCGCATACAATTGCGGAAGGACCTGCGGAAACTCTGTAGAATGGGGCTAAGGAGCTGCCCAACGGAAACATATTTCGAAAAAAATCATGCGGAAATCCCTTTCACAGATTGCAAATAACCAAAGGCCGCCTCCCACCTGTGTGGGCGGACAATTACATGCATACACCAATAGAACTGTAAATCCAATTATATATACATATATATATGTGTGTGTGCACTCTGACGCTGCATTTTATATACTATACTAGTGTACGTGTATGTATTCCGTAAGGCAGACGTGAACCCGAAGTCAAAGGGCGCGTGGGTGTTTTGGTTTGATTCGTGAATATTTGATACATACAGTATACATATATATGTACATACTTACATATACATATCTATAAATGTATGTAGGTATATGTACATGTACCTATATCTAGTGCACAGTATACACAAAACGAAGTGGCAAATGTCCTGGCTTGGCTTCTCGTTCGCTGGTTCGTTCCTCCTGCGCCATTCACGACGCACAAAACTTAAAACTATATGTGTGTATGTATGTATGAATCTATATGATTGTGTGTAAGTGGATTTGTGCTATTTTTAGGCATACCTGGGTATACGGACATTTCGCAATGACCCACTATGCTGCACACCACAGCTGCAAGCAGTGCCATGCTAACGTTCATTTCCAATCTGGACGCCATATTGCAAGGCTCTCTGGCACTTATAATTGTACAATTTCTAGGTCCTCAGGTGCTTAACCGATTGCTGAAGATTCCCTTCCTTTATTGCGCGATTCTATAACAATTTCCTAACAATGCACAGTTGCCATATGGCCGGTTAACGGTGGCTGCTACTGACGGGTTGACGTTGACGGTTTTGCCCTTTCAGCAGAGCAGCCTACACAACGACGACGACAGAGTTTATTGATTTTCAGCACGAATACACATACGATATGGGCAAAGTTCTGCCAGCTGCTAGTGGTTGCTCCAGAGCCGAAGCCCGAACTGCACTGAACGACAAGGTACAACCGTATACCATAGACCGCACCGCAAAAGTTTCGTGTCGCGTGGGCGTCCAGGTTTTTGCACAGTTCTCGACACTTAACGGAACTTTTTCACTCTTTTTTCAATGTCTACCGTTGAACAAGATGACGTTGCAGTGTCAAATGATGGTTAAAATGTCAAATGTTGCAGTTTTCTTTCAGATTGAAGAGGGGGAAACTTGTTCTTCAATGGGAAACAGATACATATGGAAGGATATGGATGGGGATACGAAATTCAGATCCGTTCGCCGTGCGTTGCCTTCGTTAGTCGTTGTTTGAATGAGCCTGGCGGCGGCAAAAACAGCAACAGCCACCGAGCTGTGACGCAAATGTTATACGTGTCCGCCCCCGCGCTGTTAAATGTTGCGGGTAGCTTTTGCGGGCAGTCCGAGCACTGTCCCTCCGAGAGGCGCCTGCGCGAGCCATCAAAAAAAGAAAGCTTTGCACGTCCCACCATTCTTTGAATAAACTCGGATGCATTCATGAAAAAGCCGAGGCAAGAGTCGACTCTCCATCAGCTAGCAGGTGGCTGCCACAAATACACACACTCTGTGTCTGGCAATAGAGGAGCCACCCGACAGCCCCCCTCCCTGCTCCACCAGATTTTCGGTGGGCACGCGCGAACCATTTTCGCTTGGGATAGGGCAAACTTTATTTTTATCAATGAATTTCCGCCCGAAAGCTCTGCTATGCAGATGAATGTGTAAGTAGGATTGGGAGGTCCCTAAACTAGTCAGTAAGGAAGGATCGGTAATTAATGGTGCAACTCTACCCAAAGTACGTCAATGACACGGAACATTTTAAAATTAATATATGGTTTCTAAACGATCTAGCCAATTAGGTATACTAAAATGAGCAACTTTCCACAACTCCTTCGGGAGTTCCTTACCATTCATGAAAAGGCTGCAAAATGGCTACTTAGTGTGAGGTTTGCCTCAAGGAAAGGTTTTCATGCAAAGGATGAAAGCTTATACGTGCTAAGAAAAGCTCAGCTGAGATCCAAACTTAGAATTAAGTTTGAATTTAAGCTTTGAAGTGGTAGTAATCGAACCGAATCTGCGCGGCGCCAGTTCCAAGTCGAGTTCCAATTCATTAACGTGACGTGACATTCCATATTCACTTACGTTGCTACTGTTTTTTTTGTTGAACATTGAACATGCCAGTACTTAAAAGTAATTAATCTTGAACAAAATTGATTCAGCAATCATATAAAATTATCGGAGCAAAACTGAGTGATCTATATAGCTGGGATTATTCGACGGAAGATCAAAAACTAGTATTTATTGGTGAATAACCGGTTGACAACAATGATTCCCGGCAACACTAATATTCATACCCTAGGGAAAAGGATATGATACGTTGGTATCAGGGTCGATGTACTTGAATATGTCTAAAGAATATCAATTTGAGAAAAGGTCTTTATAAATTACGTTTCATCTTCATATAAAATTAACGAAATAGGGTATACTATGGGCTATGCACGTATCATATCATGTCTTCAAATGCCAGCAACATTGCGACTGTTTTTTTTTTGTTGAACTATTTTGTTTATGCCTTGTTTTAGCCAAAGTACAATAAAAGAAAGGACTAAAAACTAGCCAATCTTGAAGAAAATGTATTCATCAACGGCTTAAAACTATATGGGCAGAACTAAGGGTTCTATCTAGCTAGTAATATTCGCCGGAATATCAAAATCGAAAATATTGTTTCCAATCCTTAACGGTGAACGATTAGCCCATTGTAGACTAAGCGGGTGTTTCAATATTCCACCGAAAATAATGAAAATTGATTCATTTTAGCGCAGTTCAGGTGGAAGAAATAGTGTTTTTTTTTAAGTTCAGAGGAAAGATGGCATGAATCTACAAAAAAAATTCAAAATCGTTAATATTTTCCGCCATTTACCTCAAGTAGTTGAACTATTTAAATATAGGGGGCTTAAGTGGGCTAAGTTCGTTTTTCTGTGCTCGGCGGTCACACTCTGCACAAATTCAAGTATACAGAATTTCTCTAAAAATTTTCTTCTTGAGCCACGCTTGAAAGGCCGAATTAATTTATTCGAATTAGTGAGAAATAAAATTTCAAAGGCCTATTGTTAAAATAATGTGATTTAAAAAATTGAAAATTGTGAATCACGTTAAATGAAAACTGCGGCTTGAGCCAGTCTGCCATCACAATTTTCCAATTACAAGCCAACGTCAGCATATTTGGAGTGTCTGGAAAAACCATTAGCCAGCGAAATTAACCAGAAAGTTTTAATTAAAGTGCCAAAATGGAACTTACAAAAAAAACCCCACATAATTCTTTGATTTTAACACTGAAAATTGTGCTTGAAAATGCATATGGTGGAGCGACAAGACAGAACAAAGAAAACCATAGAAAATGGTGCTCCAAGGGGCAAAGCAGCGACTGTGCAGCAGCAAAAACTTGGATACGTGCGTGCTGAGTATGTAGCATGAAGCAAGCGCACTGCCTGCAGTCGCAGCGCAGCCAGCGCCAACTTTTCTCTACATGCAACTGCATTTTGTACGTATACAAAGAAAACGGGTCTTTGTTCTGCACGACGAGGCGCAAATCGATGGCCAGCAACAACTACATACAGATCATGGAGAAGGGTGTGTATTTTTAGGCTCCCTTTCTCCCATCTTTTATTTGTCTATTTCCTGAGTGTCTATCACTGTGTCTGTGCGTGCGTGTGTGCTGTAATGGATTTCAGTAAATAATTTTCTTATTTGTGTTTGTCTTCTGCAGATAAGACATTAGTCATTCAAGCCTGCTTTGCCATATGAGAGCTATGGAATGGAATATTATAAGAGGTAATGCATCTGAAAATAGGTCACCAAACTAGTTTTTTATAGAGAAGTTTTAGACGGGTCGATGGCCCAACTAATATTCAGTAATTACATAACAATGTCTTTATATTTTTCTTTTCTCTTCTTTAAGATGTACAAATCGAAGCTTAAATGGCTGATAAACTATTGACTGTTGACGACTCGTGAGCTGGGGCTGGCAGGACTTGGTATTTATGACTACTATTCTACTTGCAACAAAGCATCCATCGCTATCGATCCACCAAAACCACAAACAGCCACTAAATATATACTAAGTATATCCCAGGCAGCGTAAAAGCGTATCATGCTAAATATCACATTATCTATCTACAATATCTGTATATTTGTATCCATATAGAGCGTAAGTGTATTTGCAGATCCATCATCACAAAACCAAACCAAACCAAACTACAACAAATCAACGCAACGCTAATCAATACTTTCTCTATATGCCATATATATATATATATATATATTTACACATATTCTTTATTATCCGACCAACTACATATGATCTTCAACTTACGAATTGTTCGATTTGCAGCTCCCAAGTACCAAACAGCCTATGCCTGCGAGGGCAAGAAACTGACCATTGAGTGCGAGCAAGGAGAGCTAATCAATCTGATACGGGCCAACTATGGACGCTTCTCGATTACCATATGCAACGATCATGGCAACGTGGAATGGAGCGTTAACTGCATGTTTCCCAAGTCCCTCACGGTTCTGAATTCAAGGTAGGTCTTTAAACTGAACTGCGTGATGGGAGCCCGTTCTCCAATCCAATTCCAATTGCAGATGTGCTCACAAGAACAGTTGCAGTGTGCTGGCGGCGACCAGCATGTTCGGGGACCCCTGTCCCGGCACACACAAATATCTCGAGGCACATTATCAGTGCGTTTCGGCGGCGCAGACGTCGACCACGACGAACAGACCCAGTCCACCGCCATGGGTGCTGAACAATGGGCCGCCAATCTTTGGCAATGGCAGCGGTCTGATACATCCGACGAATATCGGCGGCGGATCTGGAGGTGCGTCTGCCCCGCCCCGTCTGCCGACGTTGCCTGGCGTGGTGGGAATCAATGGCAACGGTGGCATGTTTAATATACCACCGCCTGCCACGCATGCCACGCCGCCGGGCAGCACAGCCACCCTACCGGGCGGACGTCTCAAGGGAGTAGCGACCTCCACCACGACCACCAAGCATCCAGCTGGTCGTCGCGATGGTCTACCGCCGCCGCCACAACTCCATCACCACCACAACCATCACACAGACGAGACCACGCCCACCAAGCCCAGCGGCAAGGTTCCAGCTGCAAGCAATGCCACAGCACCCTCAAATACTCGCATCCTAACTGGAGTAGGAGGAGGTGGAACTGATGATGGCACGCTTCTAACCACAAAGAGCTCTCCCAATCGGACTCCGGGAACAGCGGCCAGTGGCCCATCGGTTTCAAGCAACGGAAGCGCTGTACGAACCATAAATAACATCAATCTTAATGCTGCTGGCATGGCCGGAGCCGATGACGAGACCAAGCTCTTCTGTGGGCCCACCCATGCCAGGAATCTCTTCTGGAACATGACCCGTGTGGGAGATGTGAATGTTCAGCCGTGCCCGGGCGGTGCCGCCGGCATTGCCAAATGGCGCTGTGTGCTGATGAAACGAATGCCAGATTCAAGCTTCGATGAGGACGATGAAGAAATGGCTGGGACCAGCACCACGACCCCCATGTCCACCAGTAGCGACTGTTTGTACAATAGCAGCAGCTGTGAGCCGCCAGTGACCATGGCCCACAAGGTCAATCAGCGTCTGCGAAACTTTGAGCCCACCTGGCATCCACTAACGCCAGATCTAACGCAGTGTCGCAGCCTGTGGCTAAACAATCTGGAGATGCGAGTGAACCAACGAGACTCTTCTCTGATTTCCATTGCCAATGACATGTCCGAGGTTACGAGCAGCAAAACCCTCTATGGCGGGGACATGCTGGTCACCACCAAGATCATCCAAACCGTGTCCGAGAAAATGCTGCACGACAAGGAGACTTTCCCCGATCAGCGGCAGAGGGAGGCTATGATCATGGAACTCCTGCATTGTGTGGTTAAAACTGGCTCCAACTTGCTGGATGAGTCGCAGCTGTCTTCGTGGCTGGATCTCAATCCTGAGGATCAAATGCGTGTGGCCACATCCCTGCTAACAGGCTTGGAATACAATGCCTTCCTTCTGGCCGATACGATTATCAGGGAGCGCAGTGTGGTGCAAAAAGTCAAGAATATATGTAAGTAGCTTCTCTCTGGGGGATGACAATCCATAAATATTTTCATCACACAATCTCCGCCTCTCCCTGTAGTGCTCTCGGTCCGAGTTTTGGAAACGAAAACAATCCAATCCAGCGTGGTCTTCCCGGACTCTGATCAGTGGCCTATTAGCTCTGACCGCATCGAATTGCCCCGAGCTGCACTCATCGAGAATAGCGAAGGTGGCCTGGTGCGTATTGTATTTGCCGCCTTTGATCGCCTGGAGTCCATACTGAAGCCCAGCTATGATCACTTTGACCTGAAGAGCTCTCGCAGCTATGGTAAGTCCCAAAGTAACTACGAATATAATACAAGTGAATAATCAAATATTTGCCTTAGTGCGCAACACAGCAATCTTGACCAACGATAGCGATGCTAGTGCGGGGGATCTGCAACAGCGCTTGCGCATATTAAACAGCAAGGTGATCTCGGCCAGTTTGGGCAAGGGCCGCCATATACAGCTCTCGCAACCCATTACCCTGACGCTAAAGCATTTGAAAACGGAGAATGTGACCAATCCCACCTGTGTGTTCTGGAACTATATTGATCAGTGAGTGTCCAAAGTATTTGTAGGAGGTGTGTTCCTTCCATATTCAACAATTGCTTTCTCTTGTGCAGTGCCTGGTCGGCCAACGGTTGCAGCTTGGAGTCAACCAATCGCACGCACAGCGTCTGCAGCTGCAATCATCTGACCAACTTCGCCATACTCATGGATGTGGTGGATGAGCATCAGCACTCACTGTTCACAATGTTCGATGGGAATATGCGCATCTTTATCTACATCAGCATCGCCATCTGTGTGGTCTTTATAGTTATTGCACTGCTGACATTGAAGCTTTTCAATGGGGTATTTGTCAAGGTAAGAAACGCCACAAGTCCGTTGCCCCATCAGCGGGCGGGCAGCAGGCGCCAGCAGAATAATATTCGCGATCAGACACACGAGTCCTTGACCTTGACCACGCCCAGCAGCCAGACGAATATCGCCACACCAAGTCACACCAATACAAACTTTATTCAACACAATTCCATTCGCAACTCACATCGCAACAACTTGAATTACAATGTCCAACAGCAGCAACAGCAACAGCAGCACCAGCAACAAGTTGTGGCAGCTGCTGCTGCTGCTGTGGTGCTGTCCAACCAGCCCCAACGCGCCATGCAAATGAATAACCTAAATCTGAATCTTCACCATCATGGCCAGCAAACGGCGGCGGCTGCAGCAGCTGCTGCTTCGATTGCTGCTGCACTGCAGCAGCATGCTGCCCAGGCCAACAATCCTGTGTCCAGCAATAATCTGAACATTAGCCACAACTATCTGCAAGCCAGGCAGCAGCAGCAGCATCAGCACCAGATGCAGCAGCAGCCACAGCAGCAGCAACAGCACCCACACCGCAACCACAATCTGAATGTGGACGGCAACGTCTTGGACAACACGAACAACATTATAATGCAGGCCAATATGGATGATTTACAATATAAGTGGTGGTGGTGGTGAAAAAGAAGAGAAGCAAGCATAAACCGTAGGCTAGGCTAGGCTCTCTATTCGTAGATATATGTATGTATGTATTTATGATCAAGAGACACATGTGATATAATGCTTAAGTAACTCAAATTGTTCATGAAACGTATGCTCTGAGACAAACTAATTCAATCATAAGACTCGGAAGCTGCGCAGGAAAGCGACTAGGATTTACGAATTAATCCAGATTTCTCTTCGCTCGACGGCATCAGCTTTCACTTGAAGACTTTCCCAGTTCAGTTATATGTAGTTCTATATCGTAGTAATTTGTCATAGTCTAAGTTTAGTGTCCTTTTTCCGAAGCCTCCATAAATTGTTGAGGTAACTTTAAATTTTTGTCTGTGTTCACTTACCCAAACGATTCATATCATCATCTGTTAGCATGTTTTAATTAATTACATTTATTATCTATCCTATTGAGTGTATTCCTAATCCCGTTGTGTGCATTTTCATTGTCTAACAAATTAAACCTAGACATCGTACCATTGATATAATTCCTTTATTCATTTCCAATTTTCTTTTGTATGTATTTAATTAATAAAATATACAAATGTTGCTAATTTTGTCCTGTAAAACTTGCATTTTGTGTGTTTGTTTATTTGATTATCTTTTAGTTTTTCGTTTGTACATATGTATCTTCCATTTTGTTTTTCTTGTTTCGTGTCTTGTTCGATATCTTACTTAATGCGCTATATTTTCTTTATTAGTCTTATTAATTTTACATAGTTTTTCTTTTTTTTTTGACATTTCACCACCAACCACCAAAATTATTGTAAATCAAATACTAAACTAAGTTTGAGCATCGAATTTTTAAACGCAGTCAATTTATGACGTTCTTTAGGGAGGGGTGAGGGGCATTCCTCTTTCTATTTCTTCTTCTGCCTGGCCTGCTCGCAGATTGGAATCCAACACCCAAAACTTATCGCCATTTTCTACTATATTTCTTCTCGATATTCTAGTCTGCACGCACCTCGATTTATATCAACATTTATATTTGCTTGCTGGCCATTGAGCTGCTCTTTCTACTGGGCATTGAACAGACCGAAACAAGCATCTTCTGTGGTTTCATAACTGTTTTCCTCCACTGTGCCATACTCTCTGGCACCTCCTGGTTCTGCTACGAAGGTAAGCCAATCGCTTCTGCCACTCTATGTAAAGAAATTCCCACAGCTTTAACATCCTATCCACACCTGTAGCCTTCCATTCGTACTCCACTCTCACTTCGGACGAGCTGCTCCTGGAGGTGGATCAGACACCGAAAGTGAACTGCTATTACCTGCTGTCCTATGGCTTGTCGTTGAGCGTGGTGGCCATATCGCTGGTCATCAATCCCAGCACTTACACCCAAAACGATTATTGCGTCCTTATGGAGGCCAATGCTGTGTTCTATGCCACCTTTGTTGCTCCAGTGCTTATCTTCTTTATGGTAAGCTCCCATGAAAACCATCTTGGAAAAACCCAATCAATACCGCCAATAATCTTCTCAGGCTGCCATTGGATACACCTTCCTCTCCTGGATTATCATGTGCCGCAAGAGTCGGACCGGATTGAAGACCAAAGAGCACACACGCCTTGCCACTGTTCGGTAAGATCTCTCACACTTTTCGTCGATAACCGATGGGATAATCTTTTGGTGCTGTCTCCTTGATTGCAGCTTCGACATACGTTGCTCGTTTGTGTTCTTCCTGCTGCTCAGCGCTGTTTGGTGCTCAG